GGAGTCGCCCGGCGGCGGCGAACTTTCTGAAGGACTTGTTGAATGGCTCGACAGTGCCGGCTGGTGCTGAGAGTGAAACACTTCTCTGGAGTTGTAGGGCTACTAAACAATGGGGGAATATTTGCCACGTTGTTTAGTCGATTTCTCCAGAGTTGTAGTCTTTTTCGGGCTTTTCAGGAGACTTGTGGTTGGGTTTTCTTGTTTAGGAGGTTTAGGGTTTACAGGGTTAGGGTTTAGGGTTTAGGGTTTAGGGTTTAGGGTTTAGGGTTTAGGGTTTAGGGTTTAGGGTTTAGGGTTTAGGGTTTAGGGCGTGGAGATCAAGATGCCACCAAGGCCAGACGATCGATTGGGTCGTGACCAAGACTTCGAGGGAGCCATCTTGACTGAGGAGCATTGGAATGTTCCCCCTTATACTAACAGTCCTGAATAGGGTTTAGGGTTTAGGGTTTTAGGGTTCAGGGTTTAGGGATACTTAAAACCCCTTGTCTAATCCCTATTAAGGACTGTTAGTATAGGGGGGGGAACATCCCAAGAGGAGCACATCATGACTGCTCAGCGGCTAGCGGCTGATGTGACTTTTCCGGATGACTTGCAGGAGATTCCCAGCCTTATCAGCAGCCTTTCAGCCAGTATGACCTTGGGGGTTCATGGTACTTATCAACTGTGGCCCTACTGCCTGAAGCTTGGGGTTTAGGGTTTAGGGTTCAGGGTTCAGGGTTTAGGGTTTAGGGTTTAAACCTTGCATGGGGTTTCTGTTTTCTAGGGGCATATAGTGGGGTTCTTATTAGGGTATCTGGGGGTATGTTTAGGTGTAAGGGTAACAGATAAAGAGGCCATCGGCCTTTGTGACTAAAGCCCTTCTCGTAAGCTTCTGAAGCTCTCTACCCCCTCAATATGTCGGTATGTATGAATATTTGTTTATTCGAAGACGGGACCACCCCCCCCCCCCCGCCCCCCCCCCCCGCCCCCCCCCCCCCCCCCCCCGCTGCCGCCCGAAAAAATCCCTGGTGCCCGCCCCCGTCCAAAAAAACACGACCCCAAACCCTGAACCCGAAACACTAGACCCTAGACCCTGAACCCTGACCCCTAAACCCTAAACCCCAAACCCTAAACCCCAAACCCTAAACCCTAGGATCATGATCGACCTTCGGGAGCACATGGCCGAGAACGACTGCGCCATCTCGGACCGGCGACTCGCGAACCTCGGTTTTGAGACCCTAGATTCTAGGATGCCCAGTAGTGCCCTTATTCCCTTTTTGGGGGCTCTAGGTTCCCCTATAAACCCCTTTAAGCAAAAAAGGGAACCTAGGATTCCTAAAACTCCTGTAGGCCTTTCTTGGGTTCATGCCGTCCCCCCAAACTTACTGTTAGTTAGTAGGGAATGAGGCAGTGAGGTACCCTACATAGTCCCTTAAAGGGTTTAGGGAGGGGGATGTAGGGTACCTCATTCCCTCATTCACTCCTAACCCACAGTAAGCAAAGAAAGACCCTAAACCCTAAACCCTAAAACCTAAAACCCTAAACCCTAAACCCTAAACCCTAAACCCTAAACCCTAAAACCCTAAGCCCTAAACCCTGAAGGAAGGCTGCCTTGCTAATCCGCATTGCAGCATGCACTGCGGGCTCCACGACAGTGCCGCTCGGTGAGAGGGTTCTTAAGGGGGTTCAAGGGGGGTTTAGGGTTTAGGGTTTAGGGTTTAGGGTTTAGGGATATGTAACCCAAGGTTCCCTAATACTTCCCACTACTCGCTCAGGCTCCCCCACGCTTCCCTAAGGCTCCCTAAGTTTCCTGAAGGTTCCCGACGTCCCTACCCCCGATGAACCTCCCTCCCTGAGGGAACCTATAACTCGGGTGCTCTAGAAATTCATCCTGTTTTTGTTGCTCATACTTGCGCCTCAAACCCTGGCCCATCCCCCGCCTATGCAGCTCTCTCTCTCTCTTTCTCTCTCTCTCTCTCTCTCTCTCTCTCTCTCTCTCTCTCTTTCTATAGATATGTATATATGTGTGTGCTTGCTTGTTTGTTTATTATTCTTCATGTATGTTTACATGTATGGCATAGGTATCGACTATGTAGAGCACTCATATATATATATATATATACATATACATGTACATATACATATACATATACACATACACATACATATACATATACATATACATATACATATACATATACATATACATATACATACATATATATATATATATGTATATACATATACATATATATCTATATATATATATATACATACACGACGGTTTAAAAAGGGTTTCTCTGCAGAAGGATTTGAGTGCGACCAAGATCTTTCCTAACCGTGGCACTTTGAACAACTCAAGGTCCGAGTCAGACCTCTTCCTGCTGCAGCGCCGCGGCTGCTCAGGGTTTAGGGTTTAGGGTTTAGGGTTTAGGGTTTAGGGTTTAGGGTTTAGGGTTTAGGGTTTAGGGTTTAGGGTTTAGGGATCCGGGCCACAGGGTCTGAGACTGAGGTACATGTTCTGGCAGAAGGACCTGGATCAGATCGACGCCGTGAAGCGATTTCTGCGGGAGCGGGTGAAGGGCCGGCGCACGGCCGGCTCCAGCGCAACGGACTTCGATGCCATGAAGCACATGCTCACCATGATCAAGTTCCTTGGGAACCGCCCTGAACCCTAAAATAGGGTTTAGGGTTTGGGGTTTAGGGTTTGGGGTTTACTGTTTGGGGTTTCGGGTTTAGGTCTTATACCCTATACTACGGTAATTCCTATTAAGGTAGCATGAGCCATAAACCCTTTTAGGGTTCATGTCGTCCCCGAGGTTCAAGGTGGGTCCCACCATGCGCATGCCCGCGAGCATGCAGTTCACCCAAGCCGGGCAAGCCGTGAAGACCTTGGTGGAGGCCAGCAGCGCCTGCTACAAGACCCTGGGTCATTGGTTGACCATCATTTTACATCTTTTTATGAGTACTTACACTTAACAAGACCCTAAACCCTAAACCCCAAACCCTAAACCCTAAACCCTAAACCCTAAACCAATGGTGCAGGACCGAGGCAGAAGCCCAAAGGCGGCGGAGTGATGAAGAGGACTCGAAGAATCCGAAGGACACCCAGGACTTCCGGCACTTCTGGGTGGATCAAGAAGACTTGGAAGCTGAGGCAGAGACTTGGTAGCCCATGGGTTTAGGGTTTAGGGTTTAGGGTTTAGGGTTTGGGGTTTGGGGTTTAGGGTTTAGGGTTTAGGGTTCCCTTCTAAAGTAACCAACCCAAAAACAGGGTGCCCTTGTCAGAATATGGTTGCTGGGCTACCGAGGAGAGCAAGCCCATGGACCTCGATGCACTGGAGACTTTGTTGCAGTCCGCTTGGGAGCTCAACCTTGCCATGGAGATGCCGGAGAGCTCCAAGAAGTCCTCCTTGGCAGTTCTGATCGGGGGCCCCGAGGTGGTTATGGCAAAGTCGGATTGAGACGATGCCAGAGCCATGGATCGTAGATCTCACCACCCTAGCTTTCAATCCCAACAATTCTGGCAGCTTCTGCCGAATGGTCGGCCCTCAGCGGCTGGCGAGAGCATTGTGGTTCCTGCTTTCGACAGGCCGTGCAAAGTCACGAGGGTGCTGCAGTAATCCCCTTCCCCCTCGGGTAGGCAGACTTTTGCACCCTACAGACATGCAGAAGGTCCCTCTGAACCCTAAGCCCTAAACCCTAAAACCCTAAAACCCTAAACCCTAGACCCTAAACCCTAAACCCAAAACCCTACCTTTCGGTTGCCGGGACTTCAATGTAGAGGGGAAGGAGAATGTTCTGCGGCAACGAAGCCGATGCTAATCGCACACGGTGCCGAGGTGCAGATTGCTGGGTTGCTGTTAAGGAACTCAAACTCCTTAGCTGTGTGAGTAGACTTTAGACTTTTTGGGGATACTTTTATCCCCTATAGAACTGAAAGTGTGCACTTGTTTTTGGGGCTTCTGAACTCAGCAACTAAGAAAATCACGTTAGCAAACCATCCTACTTGATAACCCTAAACCCTCTATCCACATCATCGTAACTTGATATGAGTTTCCTAACAGCAACCCAGAATTGGTGGACAGGAATGAAGGAGGCATAGAGCGCAGGGTTTGGGGTTTGGCTTTCCTGCACCCTCATAGAACCCATGTTATCGGCCATTGCTGACTAAGTTGACGGGTTTTGCTTTGAGACGTTTCATGGCGAGGTGTGGGGGGGGGGGGGGGGGGGGGAGGGGTGGCTCTTGTTGCTGCCATTCAGCGGAGTTCTGTTCGGATTTCGGTCGGCAGGGTTTTGGGTGTATACGGCTCAGGGTTTAGGGATGATCTTAACGTAGTTACGTGGTCCCTTCATACGGACCCTTAAATGATGATCCCTTACATACACCTTATACCTCGTTCCTACAGTTGATCCGGGTGGTTTAGGGGTTAGGGTTTAGGGTTTAGGGTTAGGGTTTAGGGGTCGGAGTTTGGCTGGTTTGCTGATTGCAGGCTTATCCAAGGTGGATTTCTCTGTCAAGAATCAGTCTAGGTAGGCCCCGGGGATGTTTTACATGTTCCCTTATTGGGTTTAAGAGGATCCTACCTGAACCCTGAACCCTGAACCCTAAACCCTAAACCCTAAACCCTAAACCCTAAACCCTGAACCCTGAACCCTCAACCCTCAACCCTAAACCCTAAACCCTAAACCCTGAACCCTGAACCCTGAACCCTGAACCCTAAACCCTAAACCCTAAACCCTAAACCCTAAACCCTAAACCCTACCCAGAACATTTTCAGAGGGCTTTAAGGGCCATCCTAGCCGTGATTCCTTCCCAGGGACTAAAGGAGGGACCGTTGCCAAGGGACCTTAGGGTCTAAGGTTTGGCTTTGGGGTTTAGGGTTTAGGGTTTAGGGTTTAGGGTTTAGGGTTTAGGGTTTAGGGTTAGGGTTATTTGGGGCTATTTAGGAGCTACTTGGCTATATAGGGACTACTTTCAGGTACACAGCCCTTAACAAGAAGACCAAACTGCCTCTCAGGTCGTACCGTCCAGTTGCATACCGCACTGCAGTGCTCTTCTTCGGCATCGCCGCTCGCATGTGAAGCCCTATCTCAAGTTCATAGCTCATTTCAGGGTTTTGGGTGTAGGGTTCCAGGTTTAGGGTTTAGGGATACTGGGGTTTCGGGCTTTTGGCCTGAGGTTCCGGGTGAGCCAGTCCTTGTCTCAGGTAGTCTGAGAAGGTATGAACCCTACTTGGAGGTTCAGGGTACCTCTAACCCCCCCTTCTAACTTTACGTATCAGCCCCCTAAGTCCCTTGAGTCCCCTAAGTCCCTTAAGTAGGTCATGGGTAGACTTATCATTCGTGTTATAAGTACCCATGAACCTCCGAGTAAGCCCTAAACTCCCGCACGGTGAAGTGTTGGACTCCCACACTCTTCAGGAGTTGAGCTTCCTTCTCCACCGAACTACCAGGATGGGCCATGAGGCCTCTTTCTCCCCATAGTGAGCCCTATAAAGGGCCTTTTCAGGGATTATAGGGAATACTAGGGCCTTTTAAGGGATTATTGGGAATAATAGGTCCTTTTAAGGGATTATGGGGAAGAGTAGGGCCTTTTAAGGGATTATAGGGTATAGTAGCCCATCCTGGTAAGCCCTAGAACAGCACCTGAAAGAGTATTATGGCATTCTATGGGGCACCGAACTCCCTGATTCCCTTGTAGGAAGAAGCAGTACTACCCTAAACCCTCAACCCTAAACCCTCAACCCTATAGATCCTTCTCTCAGGTTGAGCTCGCGAACATTGATCCCATGTACCAGTACAGCTTGCAGTGGTGAGAGCCCCGAGGATTCTCCTGCGACCTCTGAATAGTATGCTTTTTTAGGGGTTTAGGGTCTAGGGTTAGGGTTTAGGGTTCAGGGCGCATCTTTATTCAGTGCTTTGTTGGGTGTTAGCTCCGCACAGCTGAGAGGAAAACTGCAAGGAGGTAGGAGTGGAAGGTTGGGACAGCGCTTTGCAAGTAGAAAGGGTCGGGTTTACAGGGTTCTGGGTTGGGGATTAGGGCTGGTAGTGGCTGGGTGGGAGGTGAGGCGTAGTTCTGAAACCACGGTTTAGGGTTTAGGGTTTAGGGTTTAGGGCTTAGGGTTTAGGGTTTAGGGTTTAGGGTTTGTAGATGAACCATGAGCCCCCAACCCCATAAAGCCCTTAGATGCCAAGAGGGCAGTCTGACTGAACTCTGGAAAGAACCCAGGGTTTAGGGTTTAGGGTTTAGGGGTTTAGGGGTTTAGGGGTTTAGGGGTTTAGGGCTCATAGTTCGTGCAGGGTGTCGTGGCTGAGGTTTTAGGATTTGACATCAGGTTCCAAACCCTAAACCCTAAACCCTCAACCCTCAATAAACCCTAAACCCCCCCAGGTTTCAGCAGCTGTTCCAGCTGGCGGTGGACCAGTCGCCCAAGGCAGATGTATTGGAGGCCGGGCTAGCGTCTTGCCCTTACGAGACCCTAATCCCGGGTTGGGTTTAGGGTTTAGGGTTTTTGACCCTAATCCCCAATTGGATTGTAACCCCAAAGCCCTAAAGCCACGAACCCTAAACCCATAAACCCATAAACCCTAAACCCACAAGCCCTAACAAACCCTCCATTAGCCAGAAGCTGCAACTCTTCGCGTCACGAGAAGGGGCTCCTGTCCGTGTTTGCGCGTCGGGGGGTGCCAACGGTGGGGTTCGGGTTATAGGTTCGGGGTCGTGGAGGTATCTTCTAGGGATTAGGCTTAGCGGTTGGTATGGCTTGGTTTGGTTGGAGCTAAGTTGAGGATTAGAAGCCAGGCCACACAGAGTTCGGCAGGGAATATTTTGGGGGCCGGGGCGGTGGAGGGGGGCATTCTCAGGAGCATTCGATCTTGGGGGCCAGCGGCACGCTGAATGCACCCTAAACCCATCAATCTTTAGATCCTGAACCCCACCCAAGCATGCAACTCTGCCCGAAACCCTAAGCCCTAAACCCTAATCCCTAAACCCTAAGCCCCACGAGCTCTCAGCTCTGTGTGCAAATCTCGTCAGGAGCGGCTGGAGATTCTCCAGGAGCCCAGCATTGAAGCTGACTCAAGCGATGGGGCTTCCGGTTGGAATATGGTGGCTTTGGGCCCAGGGCCTGTTCTGTGTAATGTATAAGTATATTTACATAGTAAAAAAAACATGCAGTACAGTATCATGTGTATACGAATATTACCATTAATATGTTACAGAATACAATATAATGCCATACCATGTTATATGTATATATATATATATATACATATATATATATATATGTATATACATATATGACTGAAATGAATGAATGAATGAATGAATGAATGAATGAATGAATGAATGAATGAATGAATGAATGAATGAATGAATGAATGAATGAATGAATGAATGAATGAAATGAAATGAAATGAAATGAAATGAAATGAAAATGAAATGAAATGAAATGAAATGAAATGAAATGAATAAATGGATGAATGAATGAATGAATGACATGATTAAACGAATGAATGTGAATGCAGACTAATGAAACAGTATCTATCTATGTCTACATGTATATGTACAGTTTATATACAGCATACATACATACATACATACATACATACATACATACATACATACATACATATATGTATATGTACAGAAGCGGAGGTGATATTGGTGAAAGCAACTCGTGGAACAGTTCGCAGGTTCAAAGACGGGTCTCATGCAAAAATGATGGGCCGTTGGGGGCGGCTTAGGGTTTCCCTAAACCCTAAACCCTTCCCAAAAGGGGGCCCGAAAAATGCCGAGCCCAGCAGTGCCTCACTGGGTCGGGCCTGTGGGTTCTTGGGACGCTTCGGGTTTAGCATGTAGGGCGTCGAGTGTTTAAGTTTAGGGTTTCGGATATAGGCTTTAGGGTTAGGGTTTGGGGGTTTATGGTTTCGGGGTTCGGGTTTAGAAGTTTAGGATTAGGGTTCAGGGCTTAGGGTTTCGGCTTTAGGCTTTAGGCTTCAGGCTTTGGGTTTAGGGTTTATGGTTTAGGTTTTAGGGTTTAGGGTTTAGGGCTTAGGGTTTAAAATCTTAAGAAAGGCCCAATAGGGGGGGGGGGGGGGGGGGCAGGTCCGAAATTGGGGGTACTGTATTGGGGTCCGTATTCTAAGGGGATCCTACAATTTGGGGGTCTACTACCTTGGGGGTCCCTCATTTTACAAACCTCCATATCATGCACCTCCCCACTGCCTGCCAGGACTTCTTCACCGAATCCCTCTACCAGAACATTTGCCCTCAGCCTCAAACTCCGAGGGTCTACAGGGTTTAGGGTTTTGGGTTTAGGGGTTAGGGTGCAGAGTTTCGGGTTTTGGGCCCACCGCATCCTAGACCCTTACGCCCTCAAGCCCTCAAGCGCCTCCAGTGCTTACAGCTCGTGGAGTGTTAGGGACCGAGAGCCCTGGAGTCGACCCTTATAAGAGAGCTGAGTTATCTAGAGGTTATATAGGAGCTGCTTAGGTATATAGGAGTTATGTATGGGAACAAGATTAAGGGTCCCTTCTAGGGATTCTAGGGGTGCCTCCTTATACCCCTTAATGAAGTGTCAGGGACGAAGAGTCCCAACAGCGCTCCAGTCTAATTACCTAACATCCCCGAACCGGGCGGTCGTTGATACCGGAGCCTAAATAATTTGCCAAGAGCTTCCCTTTTTCAGTGATAGGTAAACTAACCAAAATACCCATCCTTGTTAAGTAGACCTCGTGCAGGCAAAAACCCGAAGTTGTGCGCAAGCCTTGACCCCCCGCCGCACCCCCCCCCCCCCCCACCCGCGCGCGCGCGCCCTAGTTAGGGCTTAGGGTTTAGGGCTTAGGGCATAGGGCTTAGGGATTCGGGCTTCGGGCTCAGGGCTTAGGGTTTGGGGTTTAGGGTTTAGGGACAACTTGGGCCCCATGCCTTTTGGGACCTTAAAACCCCCAAAAGACATAGGAGCTCTCAAGCTGCACCCTGAATCCAACTCGAATTCCTGAAGCTCGAGGGTATACAGGCCCCCCGGTTCTTAGTAGGGAATGAGGGAATGAGTGCGCTATATATGCCCTTCAAGGGATCATATAGGGCCCTAATGCCCTCATTCCCTACTAAGAACCAGTCAGCAGGGTTTATAGTGTTTACAGGGTTCATAAGGTTAACCGGGTTTGTGGGGTTTAGAGGGTTTATGGGGTTTGGAGTTTCGTTATAGAGTTCTTAAGGGAGGGGGGTTCAAGGGGGTATGTAACCCAAGGCTCCTAATGCTCCCTGATACTCCCTATGGCTCCCTGAGCTTCCTTAAGGTTCCCCAGGTACCTGCCCCCCAGGAACCCGCGCCCTTTAGAACCCTAAACCCTAAACCCTGAACCCTGAACCCTAAACCCCATAATTCCGGTTTGGGGTTCGGGGTTTGGGGGTACCAGACATCTAGGTCGCGGCCTCTTCGAGAAGGATAAGATCCTCTTCTCATTCGCCCTGTGCATCCGGATCATGAAAGGCCGGTCCAGGACTTCATATTTAGGGTTTAAGGGTTTAGGGTTTAGGGTAAACTCCAGAAAGTTGGACATCAGTATCTTAGGATACCGTTAGTTAAGGTACTGGTAAAGTATAGGGAAACCCAGCAATACTCATCCTAAACCCATGTTCCAACTTGCTGGAGTTCACTATAGGGTTCACGGCCTAAACCCTAAACCCTAAACCCGAAAGTTTAGAATCTGGGCTGCTTCTATGGGGTGCGGAGACTCCGCTCTGGGGGGTTAGGACCGGTGCCTTCGCGCACAGCCGTCTACCTTCGGGACGAAACTCTACTTAGTAGCTGAGTGAGTACACTTTACACTTTTTGGGACAATTTACTATGGAACTGAAAGTGTACACCTTTTTGGGGCTTTATGAACTCAGCAACTAAGCCTACAAGCGTTTATGGTTCATATTCCTTAATAGTAGTTATAGTAGTATGGGGTATATGACCCCGATTTTAAGGATCACTTGGCCCCGAAGGTAGGTTTCAGTTTAACAGTCTTGCGGCTCTACGGCTAAGGGTAGGAGTACACCCTAGCACCCGAACCACTGAAGCTTTCAGAGAATGTGAGGATCCAGGGAATTGCGGAGTTCAGATTCTTTGAGGCTCAGGGCTACTGAAAGTAGGTCTTCTCAGCACAGTTATAATTGTACTTATAGCCCCAAGTGAGGGCGCTTGTGGCCGTGCTTGCAAGTACGTACCCATGAATCTCCAGGTTATAAGGCTTTGCGAAAACAACCAGGTTGCCCATGTGGCTTGAGGCGCCCGGCATGAAGCGAATTTATTGGGCTCTTGTTCAGGAATCTTAGTTTCCACAACAAAGAGGCTGCATTGTTTGTGTTCAATGTTGCGGTAGGTTCCTCAGCAGGAACCCAGTTTGCGGTCAGTGCTTACAAAGCCCGGGGCTTTGGGTTGGGGGCCGACTGAAGCATGTGCAAACCCTAAGGTTGCGCCCCCAAAACCTAACCTAAGCTATGGGAGCCCAACAAGCCAAAGCTCTGAAACCTAAACCCCAAACCCAAACCCTACACCTCCATTCCACAAACCCTACACCCTCAACCCGAAACCCCAAACCCTAAACCATAAACTCCAGCCGGTAGGTGACAAGCGAATTGATGATAACGAGCTGCGCTGCCTGGAAGCATTTGTCTGGGTTACTGTTAGATTCCTGAACCCAAGTTGCCATAGCAAGGAAGCGTGATCAGGGCTTAGGGTTTTTGAAATCGGATTTAGGGTTCAGGGTTCATAGTTCAGGGTTTAGGGTTCAGGGTTCAGGGTTTAGGCCTTTAGGTACCTGTTTTGCTTGCTCTAGCTGCACGGAGCCAAGATGCGTTCTGAAGCCCCCCTCCGCACCCCGTGTGCCTGACTCTCTTGTAGAAACCCCCCCCCCCCCCAATTAGGTTTTGCATTTAGGCTTTGGGGCCATAGACAAACAATATACATATGTGTATATATATATATATATACATTATACATACATATGTAAAGATATATGTATAAACGTACATATATGCATATATGCATATATGTAATGTATACATATATATACACATACATGCATATGTACACAGTCATATACATGTGAGTGTTACAGCGTTGCAGCTCGGAGTTCATCATCGTTCTCGCGATCATTGCCCTCATCGTCTCCATATGTCCCATTTGGTTGATCCTTCAAGGCATCCAGGGCTGGCCGCTGCAAGGGGAGTGTGGGGTGTTGCGGGTGGGGGGGGGGTTGGGTTTAGGGTTTAGGGTTTAGGGTTTAGGGTTTAGGGTTTAGGGTTTAGGGTGTAGGGTTTAGGGTTTAGGGTTTAGGGTTTAGGGTTTAGGGTTTAGGGATAAACCCTCCAAGAAGCAACCTGGTTTCGATTCGAAGAACCGCCCGCCAGCAAAACCCTCGACTACCCAGGCTACCTTCTTGTGGGGCCCACAGCAGACATGCTGGAGAAGGGGCCCATGACCGAAGGGGTTTAGGGTTTAGGGTTTAGGGCTACTGGGAGCTGTGTAAGCACTTCCTAGGGCCATCGAGTTTCAGAAGCATCTTCTTGGTCCTTAGGGTTTCGGTGGATGGGGTTTTAACGGAATTTTGGGATTTGGGGGGATTATTTCGGGGTTAAGGTTTATAGGGATTTGGGTGGATGTTGGGGTTGAGGTTTGAAGGGCTTAGGGTTGAGGGTTTATAGAAGGTACGGGGGAGGAGTTCAGCAAGTGGACGCTTGCTTTGCAGCACCAGATTTGTTAAGCCTGTTCCAGGTGCTGCAGACAGCCATGAACCCCAAATTTTCAAAACTCCCCAAACCCCGGCCAAACCCCCGAAACCCTAAACCCTAAACCCCCAAACCCTACACCCCGAAACCCCTAAACTCCCCCTCAACTGCCGAAGACCGCTCGACCTCTCAGCTTCCTTCCGCAGGATCCCAGCTGACTGGGCCCCGGCCCCAGGTGGCGGTCTCTCTAGTGAGAGTTGCTTGTACCTGCGCACTTTGAGGGTTCAGGGTTTCAGGGTTTTTGGTTCAGGGTTTCGCGGCTCAAGGTCCTGGGCGTAGGGCTTATGTTCTTTGTGCTGGAGCCTGCGTTTTTGTTTGGTCATCGCGGCGCGCGTTTAGGCGTTCAGGGTTTAGAAATCTTCCTT